GATATAACCTACAAAACAAGCAAATTAGAGCTCTTCGGGAAACAGTAACTGCAAGGCAGAGATCATATTGAAACTGGATTTTAGCTACGATAACTGGATAGCGCTGAACAGTCTCACAGGGGCTTGTGAGGCACCATCCAGCCCCGGTCTGCTCACCTTGCAGCTCTGCCTTTGAACGCTCAGGGGACTGGTGCATTTTGTAAGGGGGAACTCTCCTTTTTTAAGCTAAACTTAAGCTCACAAAAACAGGTGGTATTTCTGGAATAATTAAGTTCTCTCTGCTTAATAGTGGTTCTAAGCAAGTAGGCAGACTTTTAAATACGTGCACTAAAATCTTGGTTTTGATTTTCAGTATACATAACTGAAAGATGAAGAAATATCATTGAAGTTTGGATTTCTTCAATTTCACTGACAGTTTTAGAGCCTCTTCTATTAGATACAGAAAATAAGTACTTTTATTACGTGTATTAAATATGGAAAGGCAAAGTAATTCTGTGTGAAGTGCTGCAAATCCAGGAACTTTGAACAGCTCAGGTGAAAATCTCCAAGTCAATCTCTTTCTGCATGTATAATATTATGACAGACTCTGCTCAGGCCTGAGGGTGTACGGCCTAGCTAGTAATTGCTCCACAAAAGACAGTTAACAGTTCCCTTGCTCTTCTCTAACTACCTTCCTGACTGCTTATTGAAGTCTGATTTCTTACTCCTCTGGGTCGTCATTCATCAGTCCTAGAGATCCCACAGGGAGCGACCGCCCAGACCTTTCCATATCCCTCGTTGCCAGAGGCCATTTCTGACGGCCCCTGATATAGAAAATGTCTTCACAGCAATCCGGTGGGACAAAGTATGGTTATAATACCCAAATAATCATTTTGCAAATTATCATAATTATCAATCAATCATCTGGTGTGAACAATGTGCTTCTGAAGTATCAGATGGTTTGTGTGACCTGTAGCATTTTGTATATAATATTAAACCGAGAGGGATTTATGGACCTATCTTGCTTCATATCTGTAGTAACAAAACATTGCTAATTTTTTACTTTTCTTTTAGGAATGAAAGCTTTCATTTTACCTAGTTCCTTGCTTACTGCTTCATACTGGCTAAGAGGTCAAGATATCTAATCTCACACAGTTTCTAACAGTAATGTTATTTAGAAAAAAATCTGTGTTATTTGGGAGAAGGAGATGAGAGAAGGTGCTGAATAAATTACTTTTAGTTTATATGTCATCAGCACTGTATTACTGGCTTCTTATATTTTGCAATATAAAAAATGGAGTCAGCCAAAGTAGGGGAAAAATTGTTTTTGTTTTCCAGTTTGTTTGTTCTTTTTTTTTAAATACCAGATTGAATCCAACTCTTCTGAATCTGATAGCATCTCCTGCTCCCCGTGTAGTACATTCTTGTTAATGGATAAATTCAAGCTCTCCAGAAAGTCAAAGAATAAATTTAAAGCCTTTTGCCAAACGCCTATCCTATTGGATTTTGATAAGATGGCTATTGAGCTTTAATAATGTCTTCCATCCTTTTTCAGCTGGCCCTTAACATGTCTCTTTATTTGTCCCTAAAGCCTCTTCAGCGATGCCTTTTTATTACAAGTCTCTCAGCTTGCTCTCAAGGGAGACAGGGTCGACAAGAGTGATAGATAGATAACTCTATAGATTATCTCCCACAGATGTTTTCTCTCCAGTAGCCCCTCAGGCTATTCCCTCTAAGTAAACAGAAACTAAATAGAGAGTCTACTGAAGAGAGAAGTCCCTGAGGTCTCTTGTCACCACAGTCAGAAAAACAGCCCATCCAGAAGAGGTTGGCTAGAAGCTGCATTACACGGAGCCTCCTTCAGTATGATTCTCCAGCCGTCATCCAAAGTGACTTTTAGAGAAGAGATAAATATACCTAGCATAACCCCTCAGAAAACAGAGTGCTTTGTAACAGACACTGGCATTGTTTCCTGCCTGAGGAAGTCCAAATCCTTCTTCTCCCTCTCAAAGTTAAATCAAAATGACAATGAAGATAATGACATCAAAAAGTTGTCTTGTTGTATTCAAATGCAGTGGAAACGCTATGCTTGGAAAATTCAATATGTGAGCTGCTGTGTAAACAAAACAAACGTAACTGCAGGAAAATGGCTTGGAAAAAAAGAGTTCCAGAAATCTGGGGCAAAATACTCTTCCTCATGCATAGAGATAACTCGCACAGTTGTGCACGTCTGAACGGATGCATGCAGTTCACTAAAAAAAGCAAATCTTCCATTTGAGCGTTTCTTTCAATTAAACAGTTATTTAAAAACTAAACAAAAATGCTGAGGTGCTTATGTATATTTATGCCAGTTAAACTAAGTATCAGTACGCAAAGTAGATAAAAGAAAAGCTTGGCAGGAATAAATCACGTCTTATTCTATGACATAACACATTTCCAGATATGGAAAAATGATCGTGGGTATAGGTCCTTTAATGATATTGCTGAAAATCCTAATTCTTGAGACAAACACTAAGGAAAAAATCAGCCTTCTGGTGTTATCAGTCCCAGAAGAAATAAGAGTAATACAAACTGAAAAACACTGGGAATAGTGGGAAAATAATTCTTATTTAGCTCCAAGCCAAAAAAGGGCCTACTTTATTATATAATATAATAGTTGTTGCTCTGCTGTGTCTTCAGACTTTTCACTGCCTTTTAGTGTATGAAAAGCTACATAACAGAACATTTTTTGTGGTAACTTAACACCGAAAAATAGCACTGGGGTCAATTTTTAACCAGAGATTTCTTCCTGCACATCTTTCCACACATCCGCTGCTATTGTGCCTCCCTTTCTTGTTCAATTTTATACTATGTTTTTACGGGTTTTCTCTCCCTTCTACTAAATTTTCCTCTGTCTAGCCCTCGTTACTACCCACTTCAGAATCGGTGATACAGCAGTCAATCAAATGAGCCATGAAAATTATGGTACCTCTGCTTGGCTCTGACTTGCTTTTCTCCTAGTTGAACCTGGCCCACCCCACTCCAGTTACACTGGTCTTCAGTCACCTTCTCACCACCAACTTGTCCCTGAAGGAACAGGAATAAAGTGAAGTCAAATCTCAACTACTGTGTCTTTAGGGACATGATAACTGGATGATTTGGAGAGGTTAGAAAAGGAAATCTTCTCCCAATCGGGTTTGGTGCCACCGGCGTAAAACCCTATTTAGCAAAGAGACTACTACTTACAAACAATTTTAAGATACTAAAAAATTGTGCAGAATGATTTTTCATTCTTTATTTTTCATCTTCTTCTGACTGAAAAGCTGTCTAGCAGTAGTCTCTTCACAAGCCATTAAGTTTAGACTTGAACTCTTTACCTTACTGCTTTGACCTTTTTTACCCCAGCTGTAAAACCCTACTGCCCATCCTTCAATAAATTTATCACCTCATAAACTCCCACTACTGCTTCTCTACAATGCATTTAAAAGAAAGAAGTGCAAGGGCAGCCCCCCACCCCCGTCAAATATCATAATTGTCCGGTTTTATATGTAGTGTACAGGAAAATATTTGAGGACACAGTATATTTCAAAGAACTGCAGTTTTTGCAACATTCGCCTTTGAAATAAAAGTACTGAAGTGTAAATAGGTAATCCTTTCAACATATAAAGCTGACAGTTTAATGTTTCCTTCTACTCCTGTTTTGTACAAAGCCTTGCTGTCTTTCGGGTTGTGTGGATTCAGTGGGGTGCGGACGTGGAGTTTATTCGTGATATTGTAATTAAAGACGCTGAAAAAGGAAGAGTTAGCAGCCCAGGACCAAGGGGACTTTACTCCCTCTCTGTGATAACCGCGTTACGATAACAAGAACCTGCCGCCTTGTCACCATGTCTCTTCAGACAAAAGGATCCCACTGAGGCAGAGACAAACACCGAATGAGTTACGGAGATGAGCAAGGTAAAAAGTTCAGCAGTGCTGCCATAGGTCCTTTTGCAAGGTCATCGGATGGTCAAAGGACATCTCATACTGGAAACCTGAGTTTCTAAAATAAAAGCTTATTTTTCTCAACACGGTGAGCATCGAATGGTCCATCCTGGGCATAAATACCTTCTCCCAGACTGACTCTGGAGCCTGACGAGTATCATGTTTCACCATGCTTGGCAGAGTGACACAAGTGTTTCCTTTTAACTTTCAGGGTTAAGAAAGAGCATCGAAAATGCCCTACACGGATGAATAAAAAAGGCAGTTGTTGCAAGTTCCAATTTAAAACACGCTACACTTTTAAAAGCTCGTATTTTCTGACTAGATCTATGAATAGCCATGATGAGACAATCACATAGGAAAAGAATAACAGCCAGCTCATTACTTCGACAAGGACACGCTACCCCTGTGCACGGTAACGTAGCTATAATCAAGTACAACCTGATACGCTTTACCTTAGTAACACCGTTAACCAGAGACAGCCGGGGAAAAAAACGTCGTTTTAGCGTTCCTGAGAGCAACCCTCAGCTACGGAAACGGGTGGTGCTGAGGCCGCCCGTTAGCGGCCGGGCTGCGCGGGGCTCGCGTTTTCTCCAGTCGTACTAGCGCGTGAGCACCGCAGCGTGAGGAAAGCGCTGGCAGGAGACCACACTAGTTCAACTGCACCCCTTTTCCTAAATCCACTCCTCTTCCCTGGGACTTGGCAAAAGCCGTATTCGCTGGGTGAACTGACCCCTAAAAATTTAGCACGGTTAAGGAAGGACCAACATCATCTTTTTCACTGAAACAGAGAGAAATGAGCCCTTTGGGTTCGAATGGCAGCTGTTCTTACGGCGGCTGAATCGAGGAAAACTTCAAGTTATTATTTGCTTTTGCATACATACTGCAATCACAAAAAAGGCACAAAAATACACCAATAAAACTTCAATACTTCATCCATAAAAGCAACAGCAAATACTGGAAAACTTTGAAGACGTTAGTGTGATACACAGCTTTGTTTAAAAGTGAAAACAGAAAAAAGTCAAATGGTAAAGCAACTTGCATAAGAGTAATCCATATCCTACCTTTTTTATGTTGCCCTCTTGGGAAGTCACCTCAGGATCCGTCAGTATTTGCTAAGAAAAAAGAAAAAAAAACAAGTCAAACTTCAGCTGAGAACGTTAAAAAATAATAAAGATTATTATTATACAAAAAGGCCAAAGCCGTCTGCTTCAGCAGAGCTGCAGTGGACGTTAGCGGGAAGCCCCACGCCAGCACTGCTCCCCCTCGCTCTCACACACTTTCAGGTTTTCAGCGACTTCTAAAAACAACTTCTTTACGTTTGGCTGGCGTGAGCGTCTGCGCTGTCCTCCCAAAAGGCCGGTGGCTC